GGACATCTTCACAACACACTGCAATACAATGCAATTTACCTGTCTCAGCAAAACCACAGAAACCACCGACAAATGTTACACCTCATTACTACAACTGCCTACGACAACTATCAACGAAAGAATACTGCTCTCCACCTCAAACAACACCAACTCTCGTACCGTTGACAACCAAGAAGAAAACGACAGTTCGAAGAAAGGTCTTCGCACAAAATGAATGGAACAACTTCAACTTCAACTTGACAAGCACGAACAGTTACAACAGCAAACACTTGATATTTGAACAATCTTCATGTCGATCGCAACTAGAAATATCTATAAATCCTCTTGCTCGCCAAGTTTACCTTCGTTACAAAGAACTGAAATGTACTTCGTCTACAAAAGGTCAATCAGTAGGTCCCTGAATGGCCGTCATGTTGCGACACGGGACAAGGGCAAAGATGGAGACCAACGAGACGACAGTACTAACGAAAATATGGGAAGAAAACGAAGCGAAAGAGATGGAGTGCCACCATTTGTAACTTACATTCCTTGCTGGAGATACGTTGATGACAGTGAAAACGATCTACTTTTCTCTTCTTTCTCACTAAGTGTAGGAAACATGATGAACTTACTTCTCTGGTCTATTAATGAGAGTTCTGAAAATGGTCTATTCAGTTTCTAACTTGCCATACCGATAAAGTCACCGTTGAACTTCTCCTAGACGAACACGACTACAAGTAGTGTCTAGTGAGTCTAAAGGAAAGAGCTGAATTGAAGAAAGTCATCCTTGCCGTTTTGTTGAACGTTGTCTTCAATTCAAGTAGCAGTGAAGAGAAAAGAAGAAACTTGACGTGGAAGTCCGCAGGGCCAACACCTGCAAGAAGGTATTCAGCTGCTTGACGGAATGGTGCAGCAAAGGAGTAACTCACTGTTTGAACTTTGGACTTTGATCTACAGGTCATGAACCGCTACTGAACAATCCACAGTTGTAAAAGGGGAACTCCACGAAAAAATGAAACTTTGATAGCCTGTAGAGTTTCGGGCGCTGAGTCGAATGGTCTTGGTCCGAAGTCTCTACGACGAAGCGTTCTTGAGATATTTCACTTTGAAATTGCAAAAACGGGGGCCGCGCCCTGACGTCATGCGGCCATTTGGTTACATCATCACGGGCTGCCTACGTCATTGTGGCAAAGTCGTTTCTCTTCGCCAGTTTACAAGCACTAATTTTAGTTGGTATTTCAAGGGAAGATGGGCGATTCCGAACAATCCTCTGTCCCCAGCAATGAAGGCAGCGATGCTGAGGCCAGTGAGGACGACCAACAGCCCACCGCCGCGTATGGTTGGGGCAGGGAGCCCAGATACTCTGCTGAGGAGCTGCCATCGCGTGTAACAAATGTGGAGGAAGAAGATGCGTCAGCAGCTGCGTCCGACAGAAGACGAGTAGCTTGGCCACCAGAATCTCGATTCGTTTGGGACTCCGACTGGTGCGAGCGTGGACAAAAGTGTATAGCCATGCCCAGCCCGCGGGAATGATTTTGCTGGTAGGATGCTGCCGTCGCTGTCGACAAGACGGCCCAAGGTTTCTTGCGTAGCGGACCTCGCAGATTACGAGATCGTATCCTTGCATTAGGCTGTGCTCATCACTGCTCTTCGAGGTTATCTCGACATGCAGAAGCCGCCAATGCCAGTGACAGAAGAGTCTGACATTAGGTAAGCCTCAATTAGTTTGCCTTGACTTGTCTTGTGAGGATCGCGTATCAGCATGATACACTTATTCTTATTTTTTGGGGGAAATTTATTGTTGTCAGGCGCACTACAGTAGGCGTCGCACAAGAAACACATTGTACTGGTAGTTATCACAAGTTTCATGCATGACACAAACAAATTTCTCTTTGCTCCGAGTATGTCTTGACTTATCTTGTGAGGATCGATGCGCGTAATGTTTTGTGTGTAACTAATTATTGTTGTCAGGCATAGCACGAACAACGTTGTTCTGTACTATAGACCGTGCTATCACAAGTTTTCATACATGACTCACATTTGTCTTTGTCATTTTCCCTTGGATTGGTACAAGATCTACAAAGTATGGTAGGTAGTGTTCTGTTGGTGAAGAGAGCACTGCACACAGTTTATGAGCACCATGGGTGCATTAATTTTGATCACACCCGAACCCATACTTTATCGTTTCAAGCGATAGACTTTGTCAATAAACTCGTTTTCTAGTATACCATGGCATGCAACGTACAAGCGTGGGGTCAAGAAAGCGTACACCAAAATAATGCACAAATTCTGGCAGGAGAGTAAGAAATCTGTACTTTCTGACCAAGATATCTCTGTACTAGAAGGTAATCGAACGCGTCCTAATCAGTATTCATCCCCCAGATCATTGGAATTCAATTTGAAATCAGCAATTATGGTAAATTCTACAAGACCCTCCATCTTTGTACCAGTGGACACTAAATTAGTATGGCGCGCGCACTGAAAGTGCAGGTAGGTACCGGTAGGTGCAATACAGCGCATATGTAGAGTAAATGAGTATTTGACTATAATAATTATTACGGTACAGCAATGTGGTATGTGTACAAGCACTCATCATACACATTCCATATGACATTCTGTGTTTGTGTAGATCTCTACGCTATGCGGCACACAGGCAGTACACACTATGTACACGGCAAATTGGGCAAGCACGTTCGTTGTCGTCTTCCAGCCTGCGTTGTGAATACCATCAGGCAAAGATATCCAAATCCTGCACCACCTCAGCCTTCTCAGGAGGCTTCCACCTGGAATTTGGCAGGGAAACACGCTTCTCCAAGGCAGGAACATGGAGGTTGCCATTTGCAACCGCTACCACCTCACACATGAGCTTGTCAACATACTCATAGCTCTTTCTGTCGTATAATTTTCTATTTGGCCACAGTCTTCTTTATGCTTTGAGAACTGGACTTTATACCTTCCTATCGCGGTCTTTTTGGTTGTGCTGTGGCGACGGTTGACATTGACGTCGTCAAGAGCTGCGAGATGTGCGTGTCCAATCATCCCCAGAATTGAGAAACGAATGCGTTTAAGAATGTAGTTTGGCATGACACTGTGATATACCTGCATGGCAAAAAGAATGTGGAGAAAACACACTTGCTTAGACAATATACTGCTGTATGAGAAAATGGAAACTTCACCGTACAGGACGACTCTTGTTCTCAATTGCATTGTTCGTTTCATTCCCTGTGTTGCCCATAAGAGACGGGAGCAAAAATGTTGCAGCAGATGTTTGTTGTCTTCTGGCGTGGAGTGGTGGCGTCATTAGATGTACACATAGTCATTTCACTAAGTATACCACTACTACAGCATATGTACTATCCTTAGGCTAGCGTGCGTGCGAGTGAGTTTGAGTATGTGGGTGCGTATGTGTGTGTGTGTTGTTGTGTTTGTGTGTGTGCACGCACACGCACGCGCGCGCATGTGGGTGATGGTGTGAGTGCATGTGTATAATATGTGTAGTTCCCACTGTATTCCTTGCACAATAGGTCTTCACTTACTTTTCTTTCGCATACAACCAGAACCCATTCCTTGTTCGAAATTAGATTTTTTTGGCCTGGTGATCCCGCAAGCGTGGAACTCGGAGTGTAATATATTTTTGTTTCACTTTACTTGCACTATTCCAAGGCTGTCCAGACTTCTAACAACTGCTCTGAGTGATATGGTATTCATGCAACCATGCCTAGAAGTAGGGTAGCTGTTATAAATAGAGACATATCCACGCAATCAACTTACACTGGTTCAGTTTGGCAGGATTGGTGAGACAGTTCGTCGTGCATGCTGCCTACACATCGCAAGCAAACAGTTCTGTAACCTTCGTACTTGCTGGGGGTCTGTCTGTTTGCGTCCCAGTTGATGACAGATGTGCACAGTTTGAGTACTGGTATGCGCAAAGTTACTGGGGTAATATCGTTCATCAGCTAGCTGCAATCGGAGTTGATGGGGTGATGTACTCTTCTGATCCTGATGGGACGTATCTCGCCCTGCTTTCTCAGTTGCAGCTTGTTGAGTTCGCTTTGCTGGAGGCTCACGGTTCGGAGGGCACTGGTACACTGATGAGGGCTTTCCTGGACGGCGTACTCGTCAAAACTCAGCTCTCAAGTCCCTCTGGATCATAAATGCAGCGAGCAAACATAGCTCGTGCTGCGAAAATAGGCTTGAAATTTTCACGACGCATTGCAACATCTCGGCGCTTTGCCAGGTCTCCATCCTTTGGGAATTTGAGAAAACTAACCCCAGGAGGATGATGTGATACTGGCACAATCAACAACACAACAATTTGGCATTGCAGCGGCTCAGGCGACTTGGCAAACTACTTTCTGAAGTGACTTTCCCGTCCGTGCGCCAAGCCCTTGAGTAGCCTGTTTTTTATTTGCAACCGCGGGAAAAATCGAGGTGCAAAAAGATGACGACGACACAATTGTTTTGTTGGGAATTTGCAACCTTATTTGGATCTGAACTGGCGTGTGCTGGAGGAATCCTTGTTCATAACTTGGTTTGCTGCTGAGGTATGTCCCTTTGTCACCTACCGTATTTCCACAAATAGTAGGCCGGTCTACTATTTTTTCAACCTCGTCCTAACCCGGCCTTATAATCGAGGACGGTCTTGTATTCGAGGACGGTCTTTTATTCTTTCAACCCAGTTTGACCCCGGTCTTCTATTTCTCGCCACACAGTTTTACCCCCGTTCTTCCAATTTCTTCTACACAGTTTGAGCATGGTCTTCTATTTTTAACACAAGAACAAAGACTCATTTAGTAGGCCCGGTCTTCTAATCGGAGACGGTCTTTTATTTTTTCAATCGCCCCCTGCCCCGGCCTTGTATACGAGGAAGGCGTTGTACACGAGGACGGCCTTTTATTTGCGGAAATACGGTATGTCACTTTAGCTGAGGTTCGTTGCGCCCAACTGTAGACCATGAAGACCTGTGTTTGCACTATATATTTTTTCGTCGTAATCGTACCATCAACTTGCTTGTCGTGCTGGAGTGGATAGCATATAGCGGACACTCTCGGCTTATGCTCTAAGCCAAAGGTAGATATATTTGGGTTTGGATTCCCAAAGCACATCCCAATTATAGCAATAAAAACTGCTTTATGGCAGTTTTCTAAAAAAAGTTATTGTGTTCTAGTCCATGGACCCCGTCTAAAAAGTAAGAAATTAACGAAATGTGATAGCCAAAAATTAAAATTTCACACAAAGCCTCACAATAATCACAACACTTGAAATGCTGCTTTCAACACTAAACTTGTACTGCACCAACAATTGGCAACATGCAGTCATGCATGCATAGGAAAGAGGATCACGAGGGGAAAAGGTCTTCTACATGTAGCTTTTCATTCTGTGTGTGATTATTGTGAGGTTTTGTGTGAAATTTTAATTTTTGGCTATCACATTTCGTTAATTTCTTACTTTTTAGACGGGGTCCATGGACTAGAACACAATAACGTTTTTTAGAAAACTGCCATAAAGCAGTTTTTATTGCTATAATTTCTTTTGTTTTTTCTGTCACCAATCAATGGAATGCCTTATATCAATATGTAAATGATGGTCTTCACATCATATCAATACCGTATTATATGCATTGATGTGCAAGCCTTTTCTTGCAGAAAATGGCACTATAGTTTTTTTTGTAGCATGTTCTTCTGCGGGGAAACATGTGAGTAGTGGTGGACCGTGGTGATATTTTTTTTATACAGACGTCATTCTGTGCATCTTGCTGTAGCAGAATTTCATGACTGTCATAAAATTGTCTTGCCTTTCAGATATTTCAGATTTCCCCACCCTCGATCAGATTTATTTGAGAAATGGAACCAGGTGCGTGTCGCAGATGTTTTGTTGATTCTGTGTTTATAATGGTTTATAATCATGGGTTATCGTGATAAGGTCATCCTGCATCATACATGTATTGCACTGAAATCGTAATCCTGTTGATGTCGATACAACTTTTGGAAGTAGTTCAATGACCTCAAACTGTTAGTCCACGATTTTCTAAAACAACACAGCAAAGGAGGAACAATAAACATGTATTAAAATGTAAACAAACACATTGCAGAGTCCGACACCTGGTTCCAACAACTACACTGATCCTGAGGACAAAAGGGGCAAAGCTATGGTTGGAGGTACTGAGAGATAAACAAGGCACTCCATAATAATACAATCTTACACATCTTTCGGTGAGCATTAATGATATCCAGTCGACCCTCTTTAGGACGAACACCAAGGGACCGATGGTATTTATTCTGTGAGTTTGTCTAAACCTGTTTTATAACCAGTGAATACAATTATTTCTCCAATAGACATACGAATAGATTTCTTCTACAGCGAAAGATTTTAAGCCACACCAACTCATTGACTAGTCTCGTATGAAACAAATGAGTCACTAGAGAGGTTCTGCAAAACGAAAATGCGTACAAACTTTCGTTCTACATCATGAAGTGCGAAACTTCGCACGAACTTTCGCAACTTTGGACGCGAAAATTGCAGGGAACGCGAAATGAACTCTCGTACACACTTTCGTGAGATCAAGTCATGGCGTACGTGCACTTGGCCTGCGCAAACTACGAAAATGTGCAGAACGCAAAGTTCTTGCAAAAATTCGTACACACTTTCGCAAGGACTGTCGCGAAATTTCGTTCGAATTTTCGTTTTGCAGAACCTCTCTACTGAACGTTTCTTTAGCAACATGACGGCAACTGAAACAGCAACAGAGAAAGTACGATACATGTACAGCACATTCTTGCAGGTACTACAAAGAGATTGCAGATCGTAATTCTTGCTTTGGCGGCACGAAACTTTATTCGGGGCAGTGCAATCTCGGCGGTACTCACAAATAATTAATCAAAAAGCCCAGACTCGAGTAAACAAATCCAATCATACAAGTACGAGATCTTCACGAGACTGCACGCATTGGCTTGTTTCGTATGAAGCAAACAAGTTTACTGAACCTCTCCACAATGGAGATTTTCCCTGATATGCGAATTTATTTTGCAAACTCGGTCAATGGGTCCTTGAACCTTTCCCTCCAGATTGGGAACTGCCAACGATAGTATGCCACTGACCAGTGCCTTACTTGTAACGTATCAATGTACATTCAATGAATATGAGTATTTCGACAACACATCTAACATAAGCCTTACCGTCAAGAAGGTGAACTCGCGTTCTTCGCACACTGTAGACAAGGGCAAAGAGATAAAAATGGATCTAAATCCGAATAAAATCAGCGCACGTTTCCGTAAATGAAAGGGTGAGCATAAGCAAATGAATCGAAGGAAACCGGTCAACTCAGAGATCACCTGTCATCGAGTATTCCGTAAAAGGAGGCCTCGGCAGCGGAAAAGCTAAATTTAGAAAAGAGATCCTGTCAGCTTTTCCATTATTTATTGCATTCCGCCCAAAATCAGCACACTTTTCGTAAATGAAAGAGTCAACACAAGCAAATGAATCAAAGGGAACTGGTCACCTCACCTGTCATTGAGTAATATTCCGCGAAAGGAGATCTCAGCAGCGCCGAAACGAAAAAAGCCAGGCCAGGAGACGAAATATCCAAAACAGCTCATACAAGAAGAAGTTCCAAAGGAGGAAGTTAGTTCCTCGCGCATGCACATCCGAACACGGAGTACGGACTGCACTGCAACACAATGTCTGCCGTGCAAGTGCACAGCACGCGGCTACCACCCGTTGGTAGATCTAATACCGAGCACTTTACGTAGAGACTTACGTAGCCTAAGTGAAATACCGAGCACCTTACGTAGAAACTTACGTAGCATAGCGGTGTCGTTTTTCTTGCCATGTGAACACAATAATAGAAAAGCTGACAGGATCGCTTTTCTAAATCAGGCTATGCAAAATGGAGCGGCCCACAATTTCGTGGAGGTATGTCGAATTGTGTGGAATTTTGCACTAAAGTAATTGTGCTTGAACAAGGACGTTTTGGCTGCTTATTTTCCTTGGGCACCTCTACATTGCAAACTAGTCCCCTTGCTGTTTTGTCTTCGACATCTATACGGAATTTCTATGTAAGTCGTGTAATTGGGGCCCAGATTTTAATCAAAATCCAGCAGTATTCCTGGCTGCTGATCTAGTTTGCTAAAGTTCTGGCTGTAAGTAGTCTGTGGAACAGTTTCTTTTGTATGTACCATGGTAGGACGTTCATTACATAATTATAGATGGAGTACATAGTCAAAGAAACTTTTTATGTACAGTCAACTTTGCTTATAACGACACCTGGCGGGGCATCAGAAAAGTGTCCTTATTCGCGAAGTGTCGTTATACCCGAAGTCTCATTATATGTGTTACAGTTGGATGGGACTTTGCTCTGGGCATGAAAATTCTGTCGTTATTCGCGAATTGTCGTTATGTCCGCAGTCGTTATTAGCGAAGTTGACTGTAGTTTAGCACAACTGCACAGAAGTGCAGGGCCTGAAAGAAAAGCAAGCGCTGGAGACGCAGGGTCCGCAGCATGTGCGAATGCATTGTGAGAGCATGTGTCTTCGAATTCAGCATCATTCACATATACACACTCACACACACACACACGCGCATGCGCGCACACGCACACACACATACAAACACGTATCACACACACACACACACACACACACACACACACACACACACACACACACACACACACACACACACACACACACACACACACACACACCATTGGACCATTGGACGCCCATCGCCGGAGGCGATGATAAAGATGCTACAGCAGAAGCCATAGAAGCACACACACACACACACACACACACACAGACACGCGCGCGTCATCTGGCGCGGGTTGCGGGTTGGGTGTTGCATACTGAACATTCTGTACTTGCAGCCTTATCTTGATCATGTGTGATAGTTGTGTCACAGGTTTTTGCCGTATTTTCTGGATTCTCTGTGCTTTCTGTAGATGGTCTTGCGCGCTCGTCATCAACAGCACTAGGTCCAGTGGGCCAATCAGGCTGAATGGCATCATCCAGCTGTGACTGGGGTGTAGGTAAGTGTCTCTGCGTGCTCTGGTGGTCGACTTGTGGCTTCTGGCCTTCAATCATTGTTCTTGCACGGGACCTCAGCCTGCCTCGCATACCCTGTGGTTCACTCGTGTTGGCAGGCTGTGATGCACAGTGGAATCCTTGATGTGGCTCTCGGCCTATGTTGTTGCACGCGACGATATTGCCACTGATGGGCTTTGGTGTGATGCTCTGACTAGATGTACCATGAAAGCCTCTTGATTGGTCTCCGTAGTACATTCGCCTGCCTGGCTCGTTTTTGTCGATATTATCCACTGTTGCAATGGAGAACTTTGCGTGAGGTATCTCACTGTTCATTCTGAGCTCTGATTTCTTATCAATGATGGTCTTTTGATATCGCTTGTAGGAGTCGCCACCTGCTGTTGCGCCGACTCGAGCTAGTACTCGCATGAGCTCGCTGGAATTGCTTTGTGCATCCACAAAGTCCGAAAGAACAAGCTGGAAAGGGTAAGTGCATGCTGGTGTGCTTGCATGCATCATGCATGATAGAACAAACAAGCACCGGATCCTCTTTGCACGGTGGTTGGATGCTTGACTTCCTTCTGACTCCGATTGGCCGTACATCATCAGCCAAATGTTTCCCCACAACTCCCTGTCCACACTATCCACCACTGCGTCCAGCTTCATTTCCGACAGTGAAGTTAGGTCGTTATGCTCTTTGTGCTTGAATTCTTGTGCTTGACTTTTGATTTATGAGTGCATTGCAGCCGACAGCTCTGATACGAAGGATGATGGGCCACTGGGTTGGCTTGTGTGCTGTGTGTGCTGGGTTTCATTTTGTGCTCTGTGTTTCAGGGTCTGGGATCGTGCAACGGCGAGGAAATTGTATAAGCACAGAACTGTGTCACACCCTGTACGATACAGGAGCGTACCTCGTTTCTTACTGGTACCATATGACCCATGACTGAGATGAGCGCCAAGCTTCGAAATAAGGCTGGACAGTAGCCACCGGTTGTTGCAGTCGATGGATGGTGAAGAAATCAGCAGCCGTTGCCAGAAGAAGAGAACGGTTCTCGAGGAATGCAAGACAGACGAATCTTGCTGTTGCCAGCAATGCGGACTCCTCGGGTGAGGTGCATTGGTGCATTTCGTCTGTTATACGCTGCACCAGGCTCTCCAGCTTGAAGTCAGTAATCTGACTGTCCACCATATCCAGTTGGCCTTTATAACAGGCTAGGCAAAAAGCACTATCCGCGGTGACCGTAAGACCACGCTCAGTGTGCAGCTGACGCTGAACTGCTCCGACGTTCGGACATTTACGCTTAACACCCCTTATTTGTGCGCCACACATGGTGCATGTGGGCCTGTTGCTATCATGTAGCTGCATGTTATGCCGGTTGCAGAGACCCGCTGGCTGATCCTTTGCGTTTACTTTCACGTAAAGCTTCTCGGCCAGCTCTACTGCTTGTAGTGAAACTGTGACATGCCGTGGCAAATCACAACCATCTACTGAGCAGTCTGGTATTGTTGCGGATGCTGGTGCCGGTGCTGCTGGTGCTGCTGCTGCTGCAACATGCTGTGCAGGCACGCACGTTGTCAGTGACAGGCATTGGCTCTGCTGAATGATTTATGAGCCTTTTCATGCATTTCTTGCAGATACATGCATTTCGTGGTATTGTAGGGTGATGTGCATATTCCCAGCATTGCGTGGTATCGGGGTGGGCATATCTGCCATCAAGGGGAACATCTTGGCAGGCTACACATGGTCCGCATTGCCTGTCAGGATGCAGTTTCGAGCCCTGGCTTTGGCGGCCCATTTGGACTTGGTCACAGTGCGGACACTCGTTGTTTCTTCCTGGCCTATAGCAACACCATCTGTCCGCCCATTCGCGTAGTTTTATCAGAGATAGAGCCTTGCAAAATAAGACGGCCCACAATCTCCTGCGACGTATTTACGAAATGGGAAATTGAGAAGAGAAACAAAAAGGCACCGCAACGACTTGAGATGTCGAATATCGAGGTGCACTTTCGAAAAATGTGCTCATCGCTCACCCTTATAACACCATAACGGCGCAAAAGCAATCGATATAGGAGGATAAGCCTGTATTCTCGAGGTAACCAATAGTCGAAAATTGAGAATAATTCGGTATGTCACTAAATTCGTCTTCAAATTTCCCGCGGTTGCAAATAAAAGTGCAACTTTTAGACGACTTTTTTGAACTTGGCGCACGGACTGTTTCGTCCTGAAGAAAGTGAGATTCAAAATCCAAGTATTTTCGCACATTGCCACAATGACGTCACACATACATTGGTATGGGGCGTGGCTAAAATTGAAATATCTCAAGAACGCTTTCTCGTAGAGACTTCGGACCAAGACCATTCGACTCAGCGCCCGAAACTCTACAGGCTATCAAATTTTCATTTTTTCGTGGAGTTCCCCTAACTAGACCGATAAGATGTAGCACTCGGTGCGAGGACAGGGTCAGGGGAGTGAAACGAATGATCCAGTCGCTAACGTGAGCCGTTTTTGAAATACATCCATTATGATTTATGTCAACCACTGAACCAGGTCAGTCAGTGCAGTACATGGCGGATTTCTACCTCTGGACTGGAGTAGGCATCATCACAGTGTGCTATATCAGTGATACTATTGCTGTAGGGGGATTTCAAATAGACCTATAGCGCATGATTGTATTTTTACTTACTGAGTGAGTTGTCCGTTCGGTGAAATCTTCCTCAAACGTTGGCGGTGTAGGCTGACTGGAGTAAGTAGGTCGTTTAGAGAAGGAGAGCGTTGTGCTGAACTTGTTACTCACTGAGAGAACGTTGTGCTGAACTTGTTATTCACTGAGAGAGCGTTGTAGCCACTACAGACTGATTAGTAGTTGAGAGAACGAGTAACAATGACTGGAAAGGATAATGCACGACTAACAAAGGTAGGTAGGCACTGTTCAACAACGCGAAGGACTAAAGGGACGCTGGTCTAGGAGGGCGGCAGTTTTTGCACCGTGGCAACCAGGAGTGCGCGCACGCGACAGCCACCAGCGCAAAGCGTTGTGTAGGCTGCGGAAGTGCGGAGATATATCCGGAGAGCAGGGAGAGCGACGACACTTCGCCGTGACCCAGGTGAGCGGCTGAGCGCATACATCTCGTAACTCAAAGACAGTGCAGAAGCGAAAAAAGCACTGTCTTTGAATGAACAAGACGTTGGATTAATAATAGTTCCTGAAAGTCACTCTACTTGGATTGGTTGGAACTAGCTTCTTTGCTAACTGTAATGATTTTGTTGAGGAGCGGTTTGAATTCGTTACTTTTCACGACAGCCTGACTTCTGGCTTGCAGTAGAGCTCTCCTTCCGATCCTGTCAATGGTCTCAGATTTGAAAGAAAAATACTCGAACAGTGATATTATTATTCTATACATCGCTTGTGGAAGGAAAGGGCGAGTGCTGGCAATCACTCAGTCTTCGCAAGTAGAGAATGTCCCTGCTGATTACCAGCTGAGAGACAGCTATTCTGTGCTGTGAAACGAAGGGACGATTCTTGAAGTGGAAGAACAATCGTACTAGATGTGATGATCTACTTGTAGGCAATGTCACCCACAGTGTGTACAAACCTGTAGGCTAAAGCCGGTGTTACACTGGGGTTTTCTGGATCTTCAAAGCACCAGAAGTAGTATGTGTACTGTTGAAAGCGCCCATTCCGTCTTGGAGGTGTGCATCACATTGACATTGTGCATGCGGTCTTTTACTAGTACATGTGTTTGGTCAGGGTCTCATCTGTGTGTGTGTCTGTCTCTCTGTTTGCTTGTGTGTCGGTGTGTGTGTGCGCGTGCGTGCGCATATGTGCTTATGTGTCTTCATGTGTGAGCAGTGTGTACTTTGAATGTGCCGTGCACAACTGTTTTGTGTGTGTATGCGCTTGCAATTGCCTTGCATGCGCTTTGAACATGTGTTCGTGTACGTGCTCCGCAGGACTTGTGATTTTGCCTGACCTTTGAAACCAATTGGACTGCCTGCCCTGGCAAGGGACTCTTATTGCCTAGCTTGTTGTTATGGCGGCATCAACAGTAGCACGTAACGCCACTCGACCTGTCGTTGCTTCACAGCGGCTGCTTTCTCGCTCCCGCTGTATCAGTTCGGCGTATTGCCCAGCTGCACCGTGTGGTGAAACAGCATACCGGTGCTCCCTGCTCAGTAGCTGTTGTCAGTACCAGGAACTTGGTGAGTGTAGCGGACACAGGTCGTGGCGAGTACACTGCGTCGCTGGTGACACACCATCACTGGCAATGCCCCGCGTCACGCAGTGCAGCGCGTCACTATTCCGCTCCACCGCGTGTCACAACCGCAGCGTTGCAAGGGCTGCTAGCGCAAGTGCAGCGTCTCCAGCAGGAACAGCGCAGCAACGGTGGCGGAGCACTGAGCCCGGAGCAGAGGTCCCCATTGGCTTCCGCTTGTCATATGCTGTGCGCTGCGATCGGGTCGTTGCTCAGCACCATCCCTTACTTGCTGCAGCAATGTTCCCGTTACAATGCTTACCCGGGTGTAGCCAGCAACGGACTGCGATCTAGTGTATCCATATTCTCCACGTGTACATTGGCGCTTGATGACATCATCAAGTCACTGCTTACGTCATCGAATACTAAGAGAGATTTCGCACAGGCTGTGTCAGCACTTGAAGAACATTCAGAGCTGCTCAGGGATCACGCGCAGCTTTTTAAAGTCATCTACGCTGTCGTGCAAGTGGACAAGACTGGCGACCTGATCGTTGATCATACTCAGTTTCCGGACGACTTTCTGGACACTGCTGAGAGTATGGAGCGGAGAAGCTTCTATGGACGGTGCCTCGGCCTTCATGTAAGTCACTGTGAGAAGTAAGGTGACATTTGTATGTGTGCTCTGCGACCGTAGAGTACAATAGCTGTCCGTGGTCTTTTGGATACTCCTACCCGATCCCCCTTTGGTGCGTCCATGGAGCTATAAAGCCGAGACCTCTGGTCGGCTGAGCTTAATGGGCCCCACCACCACATGCACACTCCATTATTCACCCCAGTGTCTGGAGATAATGTGGATTTTGTAGAGAAAAAAAGAAGAAAAAAACATCCGAGTTTCAAAACAAACAAACAAAGGTTTTAGCATGCCATGTGCGGTTGACGTTGACGATTTGTTCTGTACCATGCTCAACACTCTCTTTTTGCTGCAGAGTGCCAGCTCTGAGCCTTCTAAGGCAGTCATCATTCACTTCCATGGTGGAGGGTTTCTGGCGCAAACGTCACAGTCACATGTGCTAGGTCATTGGAAACAAATGGGTGTGCTTTGCTGCCACCATGCTCCATCCATTTCTCCGCTGCCGTAGCCAATAAAAACTTCGAGAGAGCTTGGAAGCTCAGGGCCCTGCGCTATGCTTTGTTGCCTAGCTCATCGTGCATGTTGTTAGAGCTGATGGAAATGCTTTTTCCTTTGATTAGCTACATCATTGTTTTGCAAAAACGTTTCAATGAGATACTGAAGTACAAGTAACGTCTTCTGCATAGCTATGGGACCGGCGCTGACTCTGCCGATGACGGGCGTTCTGGAGTCGACGGGATGTCTGTCCTGACGTTTCCTGGGACCGGCGCTGACTCTGCCGATCACGGGCGTTCTTCTTCTTCTTATTATTATTATACTGACGGCAACTAACATCCATTCTGATTGCATTTACTCGTCTCCCTACTTCGTATTTCTTTCCAGAAAATCTCCCCATGCAGCAGGGAGTCGTTTACATAATATCACTCCCTGCTATACATATACATGACTGACTTGTCAGTTTGAGCACTCTGGCAAGGTACGTTCGGGCCTGATTGGAAATTTTTATTTTCATTGCTATCGGGTTCGGCCTCATTTTCTCTGTGCTGCGCTGATGAGTTCAAAAAGAACGAAACAGCATGCTGTCCGCAGATTGAGTGGCTGTATATACGTTATAATTATTACATAACCCCCCAAAGTGTGCAACGCCGATCCAGCTCTGTGTAGGGTCTTGGTCGAGCGGAATCGGATCTTCTGATGTCATGCGTACACTTCACACCAGCGCAAGGCCGGTCTCGAGGCAGGGCACCATTGTTTTTGATCCAAGAGTACCCGCGACTTCCCGGGTTCCCCTCGGATGTGTACGGTATTATGACGCAAAGATCCGATTCCGCTCGACCAAGACCCTATGCAGAGCTGGATCAGGCGTTGCACACTCTGGGGGGTTATGTACTCTTGTTATTATGCTATCGGCCTACATGCGATTTCCGGGCTGGTCGACAGGCGGCCCAGCCAGCCTGCTAGTGGGATCTCGGCCTCGCACACAAATCCACACAAAATTTAATGTTACTGCACTGAATGCATTCCCCCCATACACTTCGCATATACTCATTCTCTTGATGGTACCGTACTCTTGATGGTACGGGACAGGTACGGGATAGCGCCAGGCATGTCGATGGCAGAAACAAAATGTTGGTTTGCGTTGCGCAAACCGTAGTTAACCTACATGTCACAGAGCCGCATCTCCCGCATGGAGATGCCGTCCGCAGACACGCCAAAACCGGCTAAGTCTCATACGAGCTCCGCTAAAGTCGTACGCACTGCCGGGCTCCCGCGCGGGGCCCCACGCAAGCATTCGCAACCGCGATGCGCGTACGGCATGCCGTATAAGCCACCTATCCGCCTTGGGTGCAAGCTCACCCAAGGCCACCCTCGCAAGGCAGGAACACGTAAAGACATTCACCAGTTGTTTGTTGTGCCTGCCCGCCGCAGAAATTGTTTGAAATTGTCTCCTCTAAGCTTCCGTTCTCAGCGATAGTCTTACACCCACCATGGCTTTCTCGCAGGCACAAAGGGAGTCTATCCAGCAGATCGTGGCAGCAGCCCGCGAGGCTCAGCGGCAACGCACCGGAGAACGCCACGGAGCAAGAGGACGGTATGTGTGCTGATGAATTCACGCACTATACGCACATGGGTGACCCCTCCTGTATTTCGCACGTCTCGTTGGAGACAGTCGATCGGATAAGACGAATCGAGTACATAGATCTGGCAATACTGCTCCCGCTCCCTGCTCCCTCTTCTGCTCAGGCTCGCACGCCGTGTCAGCCTGTCCAGCCAAGAAATAAGAGCGAACAGCAATCAGCCCCGGCACTATTTTCTTGCATTCACCCGCCCCCTAACACCCTATGAACATTGCTGCATTACACCCCAACACCCCTATCAATATTGAGGCATTACACACTGAATTGCTGGCGCACCCAAATCCTGCATTTGTTCATTCTCTAATTAGCAATTTACGTGCCGGCTGTTGTATCGGGTTCACTGGACCCCGTGATGTGTCCGTACGCAGCCCGAACTTGTCTTCAGTGGCAGCACACCCCGAGGTCGTCGACCAGGACCTGGCCACGGAATGCAGTCGCGGCCACACCGCTGGCCCCTTCAACGCGTCGCCACTCGTCCATCTGCGCACCCCTGGCGTAGGTGTGGTCCCCAAGAAGTCGGGCAGCCACCGGCTCATCATGCACCTGTCCGCCCCCGAGGGGAACAGCGTCAAGTCGTTCATTGACAAGCAGGCCTACCATTTCTCTCTAATTACGATCGACATGATAGCAGACCATGTGCGCAGGACTGGACCTCTTGCACTGCGATAATTCAGCAGGGTGCACTGCCTGGGAGTCTGGCACGTGCCGACACGCCGGGGTCATGGCCCTGATATGCAGCACCATGCAACTCGCCGCTCGCCACAACTTCTGCCTGCTCGTCCGTCACGTCGCCGGCGTCGACAACAGCATCCCAGACGCACTCTCCCGGGCCAGTTCCAGCGCTTCCACCGTCTTGTTCCGACGCGGAGACTGCCCCATCATCACTCGCAAGTGCCCAATCCGACAACGGATAGTCGCATCCGTCTGCAGTTGGCCAAGTGCTCCAGCCGCCAATTCAAGCCCCCACCTACAGTTTCCGCTGTCAATGATTATCCATGCCCTGCCGGGGCAACCCTTCATGGTCTATCTTACCACTCTGTGGGCTTACCGGGCTTATCCGGCCCCTTAGAACACCCCTTTTTTGGGAGGAATGGTGGCCGACACCCCGCAGGCCCCGAACCGGCGACCGCTGTACTCGGGGGCGCTCCATATGTACGCGACACACGTGGCTCGTATGGCGCAAACAAAATAAGGGCCAGGCACCGCGTTGCCGTGCTACCGAGGCAAATTGTAGAGGGCGTTAAGCCTACCTAGCAGGTTGTATGTTTGCCCGTATACTAGGGGCACGGCTCCGCGAGCCTGACCTGCTCGCTGTCTTGTGCTCTGTATATCCAGGCTCGCAAGCCGCACGCATAACATCCCGCCGGATGTCCACCTCCCGCTGGAGGATCGCCTGCAGACACCACCGCCGCAAGCAACGGCTCCGCGAGCCAACGCTTCGCCGCCCGCTGTCTATTGTTCTGTGTGTCTATCCAGAGTCGCTAGCCCCACTCGCATAACATCCCGTCGGATGTCCACCTCCCGCCGGAGGATCGCCTGCAGACACCACCGCGCAAGCAACGGCTCCGCGAGCCAACGCTTCGCCGCCCGCTGTCTATTGTTCTGTGTGTCTATCCAGAGTTGCTAGCCCCACTCGCATAACATCCCGCCGGATGTCCACCTCCCGCCGGAGGATCGCTTACAGACACTACCACTGCAAGCTACGGCTCCGCCGAGCCAAGGCTTCGCCGCCCGCTGTCTGTTGTTCTGTGTGTCTATCCAGGGTCGCTAGCCCGGCTCGCATAACATCCCGCCGGATGTCCACCTCCCGCTGGAGAATCGCTTACAGACACTACCGCTGCAAGCTACGGCTCCACCGAGCCAATGCTTCGCCGCCCGCTGTCTATTGTTCTGTGTGTCTGTCCAGGGTCGCCAGCCCACTCGCATAACATCCCGCCGGATATCCACCTCCTTCCGGAGGATCACTTACAGACACTACCGCTGCAAGCTACGGCTCCGCCGAGCCAAGGCTTCGCCGCCCGCTCTCTATTGTTCTGTGTGTCTATCCAGGGTCGCTAGCCCCGCTCGCATAACATCCCGCCAGACGTCCGCCTCCCGCTGGAGAATCGCTTACAGACACTACCGCTGCAAGCTACGGCTCCGCCGAGCCAAGGCTTCGCCGCCCGCTGTCTATTGTTCTGTGTGTCTGTCCAGGGTCGCCAGCCCCGCTTGCATAACATCCCTCCGGATGTCCACCTCCCGCCGGAGGACCGCTTACCGCCGCAAGCCACGGCTACGCAAGCCAACGCTTACGTGCCACTCCATGCCTCCACCCGCAAGGCTAAGTATCTATGGATTAGGCCAATAGCAGAGGCTCCCAGCCCGCGGGGCTGGGGAGGAGGGGGAGAACCTCGGCCAAACCAGTGCAGGAACGCCCCGCCGAGGTCAGGGGGGAGATCTCCCACTAGCATAACCCACGGGTCCCCTGCTTACAATCCGCAGCCACGCCGCCGGGCCAGTGTGTTCCGGGAAGCGGGCCGCCGTTCGGCGACTCGGCGCAGCATGCATACACCGCAGCTTGGCCGCCGTGCCATGCTGCCTGTTTAGGGAATGTGCACGTGTGTGCATTTGTGTTGCATGCGCTTGTGCCTGTGTCCTCCTAGGCTCGCTAGCCGCCGCTCTCTCAGCGCGAGCAGAGCACCTGATTGCCAACTCGGTAGCCACTGGCACACAGCGCACGTACGCCCCAGGCTGGCGTGCATTCCTGGAGTTCATGGGTCGCATGCGCCGCGACGCACATCACCCAGATCAGAACGACGTCATGCTGTTCGCTGCCGCAATATCTCACTCAGTCAGTGCCAGCACTCTGAGAGTCTACCTGGTCGCGGTCAAATACCACCTCCTCCGCATGGGAGGCCCGGTCGGGGTTACATCCTCAAGCCGCATCACAGCCCTGCTCAAGGGCTTAGAGAGGGAGAGAGCGTCGCTCCCCAGGCATCCATCAGCACGCCCTCAGCGCCAAGCGATCACCGTCCACCAGCTGAAGGCTCTCCGCCAGTTCTTGGATCTGTCCTTGTACTCCCCGGCAGACAGACTAAGGCTATGGGCTGCTCTGACGACAGCCTTCCACGGCCTGCTGCGTGTGAGTGAGTACACGTCGCTGTCACCACACGGTCTCGGCGGCTTCAAGACGCTGAGGCGCGAACACCTCCAACTAGCCCAGCAGGAGGCCTCTCTGCAGCTCCAGAGGACAAAGACGCCTCAATTAACAGCAGGCGGCGAAGTAGCGCTGCACCGCTACGCTGACCCCGCACTATGTCCCGTCCGAGCCCTGCAGGCTGACGTTCGGTCCAGCAAATGGAGCAATGACAAGCAACCCCTCTTCAAGTTTCAGGATGCTCGCCATCTCACGCCGAACGACATCAATGCTGTCCTACACAAATGCTGTCCAAGCATCAGCGGCCATTCCTTACGCGCCGGGGGAGCCACACACACGGCAGATCGAGGCGCCCCAGAGTATGCCCTGACGGCTGCAGGCCGCTGGTCCATCGTACGTACATTCGCAGGCCCGCAGGCATGCCACAGCACTACTAGAGCCTGCATGTCGCAAGCCACTCGGTACCTTTATTGGAGGCACGGGTGCTGCCGATGGGCGCCGCATAGTGCACGCACATCGGCACCATTGAACTATTCATGTGTACTAAGATTTAGTGTTCCGCTGCCATAGCAACCTAGTAGTACACGTAGCCGTTCCGACGGCGCACGACCCCGCGGGTCGCTTCTGCTGTCCTTGCCTCTCTGATGCGTGATATGCGTACATCATTTATAATCATGACCTCATACTGAGTACATGTACGTCATACTTGATTACCGATCACAGGCTCATGATTATTCATGCTGGAATAAACGCTTGCGACACCCCACAGGCTCGTCTCTCTTGTGTGGCATGAGGGTTAAATGTTGGTTTGCGTTGCGCAAACCGTAGTTAACCTACATGTCACAGAGCCGCATCTCCCGCATGGAGATGCCGTCCGCAGACACGCCAAAACCGGCTAAGTCTCATACGAGCTCCGCTAAAGTCGTACGCACTGCCGGGCTCCCGCGCGGGGCCCCACGCAAGCATTCGCAACCGCGATGCGCGTACGGCATGCCGTATAAGCCACCTATCCGCCTTGGGTGCAAGCTCACCCAAGGCCACCCTCGCAAGGCAGGAACACGTAAAGACATTCACCAGTTGTTTGTTGTGCCTGCCCGCCGCAGAAATTGTTTCCCACCCTCCCGCACCGTTTAAAAGGCAGGAGGCACGGGTGCTGCCGATGGGCGCCGCATAGTGCACGCACATCGGCACCATTGAACTATTCATGTGTACTAAGATTTAGTGTTCCGCTGCCATAGCAACCTAGTAGTACACGTAGCCGTTCCGACGGCGCACGACCCCGCGGGTCGCTTCTGCTGTCCTTGCCTCTCTGATGCGTGATATGCGTACATCATTTATAATCATGACCTCATACTGAGTACATGTACGTCATACTTGATTACCGATCACAGGCTCATGATTATTCATGCTGGAATAAACGCTTGCGACACCCCACAGGCTCGTCTCTCTTGTGTGGCATGAGGGTTAACAAAAATATTGTGGCCAGCTGTCTTTGCTGGTACGGTACAGTACGGGATAGATACAGGATAGCGCCAGGCGTGACACAAACAAACAAACACACAAACAAACACCAAATTAAAGCTGTGTGGACCCTGGCTAGCGCCAGACGTTACTGAAGTAACGTCTTCTGCATAGCTACGGGAATAAAAAGATACTGGATCATTTGTGTAACACGGATGTGCACCAGGTTTTCATTTGGCCCCATATACAATAGTACAGTACTGCTCCATGACATACAGTCGCGTCACTCAAGTACGTGCCGGGCGTTGCGCAGCCCTAGACCTGCGAACACTGGGCTGCGAAATGGTGCAAGGCGCAAACTTGACTCACGTGACCGGATTTCATTGAGCATCACTGTACATAATATTAGTATTTAGAAAAGCGATCCTGTCAGCTTTTCTATTATTGTGTTCACATGGCAGAAAAAACGACATCGCTATGCTACGTAAGTTTCTACGTAAGGTGCTCGGTATTTCACTTAGGCTACGTAAGTCTCTACGTAAGGTGCTCGGTATTAGATCTACCAACGCGTGGTAGCCGTGTGCTGGGCGCGTGCACGGCAGACATTGTGTTCAGTGCATGCAGTCCGCGGATCCGTGTTCGGATGTGCATGCGCGAGGAACTTCCTTCTTTGGAACTGCTTCTTGCATGAGCTGTTTCGGATATTTCGTCTCATGGCCTGGCTTGTTTCGTTTCGGCGCTGCTGAGACCTCCTTTCGCGGAATATTACTCACACACAGGTGAGTTGACCAGTTGCTTTTGATTCATTTGCTTGTGTTGACTCTTTCATTCAGGAAAAGTGTGCTGATTTTGGGGCGGAATCCAATAAATAATGGAAAAGTTGACAGGATCTCTTTTCTAAATTTTGCTTTTCTGCTGCCGAGCTGCGAGGCCTCCTTTTACGGAATACTCGATGACAGGTGATCTCTAGTTGACCGGTTTCCTTCGATTCATTTGCTTATGTTCACCTTTCATTTACGGAAACGTGTGCTGATTTTATTCGGATTTAGATCCATTTTTATCTCTTTGCCCTTGTCTACAGTGTGCGAAGAACGCGAGTTCAACTTCTTGACGGTAAGGCTTATGTTAGATGTGTTGTCGAAATACTCATATTCATTGTACATTGGTACGTTACAAGTAAGGCACTGGTCAGTGGCATACTATTGTTGGCAGTTCCCAATCTGGAGGGAAAGGTTCAAGTACCAATTGACCGAGTTTGCAAAATAAATTCGCATATCAGGGGAAATCTCTATTGTGGAGAGGTTCAGTAACTTGTTTGTTTCATACGAAACAAGCCAATGGGTGCAGTCTCGTCTCGTGAAAATCTCGTACTTGTATGATTGGATTTGTTTACTCAAGTCTGGGCTGTTTGATTTGTGAGTACCGCCGAGATTGCACTGCCCCAAATAAAGTTTCGTGCCGCCAAAGCAAGAATTACGATCTGCAATCTGTTTGTAGTACCAGTAAGAATGTGGAGTACATGTATCGTACTTTCTCTGTTGCTGTTTCAGTTGCCGTCATGTTGCTAAAGAAAGGTTCAGTAGAGAGGTTCTGCAAAACGAAAATTCAAACGAAGTTTCGCGACAGTCCTTGCGAAAGTGTGTGCGAATTTTTGCACGAACTTTGCGTTCTGCACATTTTCGTAGTTTGCGCGGGCCAAGTGCACGTACGCTATGACCCGATCTCACGAAATTTCCTACGACAGTTCATTTCGCGTTCCCTGCAAGTTTCGCGTCCAAAGGTGCGAAGATTCGCACTTCATGATGTAGAGCGAAAGTTTGTACGCATTTTCGTTTTGCAGAACCTCTCTAGTGACTCAATTGTTTCATACGAGACGAGTCAATGAGTCGGTGTGGCTTAGAATCTTTCGCTGTAGAAGAAATCTATTCGTATGTCTATTGGAGATAATTGTATTCTCTGGTTATAAAATAGGTTAAGCTCACAGAATAAATACCATCGGTCCCTTGGTGTTCGTCCTAAAGAGGTTCGACTGGATATCATTCATACTCACCAAAAGATGTGTAAGATTTTATTATTGTGGAGTGCCTTGTTCATCTCTCAGTACCTCCAACCATAGCCTTGCCCCTTTTATCCTCAGGATCAGTGTAGTTGTTGGAACGAGGTGTCGGACTCAGCAATGTATTCTTTTTACATTTTAATACATGTTTATTGTTCCTCCTTTGCTGTGTTGTTTTAGACAATCGTGGACTAACAGTTTGAAGTCATTGAACTACTTCCAAAAGTTGTATCGACATCAACAGGATTACGATTTCAGTTTCAATATGATGCTGGATGACCTTATCACGATAACCCATGACTATAAACCATTATAAACACAGAATCGACAAAAACATCTGCGACACGCACCTGGCGCATGGCTACATTTCTCAAATAAATCTGATTGAGGGTGGAGAAATCTGAAATATCTGAAAGGCAAGACAATTGTATGACAGTCATGAAATTCTGCAACAGCAACATGCACAGAATGACCTCCGTATAAAAAAAGTATCACCACCACTGCTCACATGTTTCCCTGCAGAAGAACATGCATTATGCTAGTGCCATTTTCTGCAAGAAAAGGCTTGCACATCAATGCGTATAATATGGTATTGATATGATGTGAAGGCCATCATTTACATATTCACAAGCAAGAGTCCATAACCCGGGTTATGGACTCTTGATATACATGTCAGATGTAGGGCATTCCATTGATTGGGGACAGAAAAAACAAAAAGAAATTATAGCAATAAAAACTGCTTTATGGCAGTTTTCTAAAACAGTTATTGTGTTCTAGTCCATGGACCCCGTCTAAAAAGTAAGAAATTAACGAAATGTGATAGCTGAAAATTAAAATTTCACACAAAACCTCACAATAATCACACACAGAATGAAAAGCTACATGCAGAAGACCTTTTCCCCTCGTGATCCTCTTTCCTATGCATGCATGTTGCTAATTGTTGGTGCAGTACAAGTTTAGTGTTGAAAGCAGCATTTCAAGTGTTGTGATTATTGTGAGGTTTTGTGTGAAATTTTAATTTTCAGCTATCACATTTCGTTAATTTCTTACTTTTTAGACGGGGTCCATGGACTAGAACACAATAACTGTTTTAGAAAACTGCCATAAAGCAGTTTTTATTGCTATAATACCCTATGCATGTGTCTTCCTTGTGGTGTATTGTTCATGCAGAGCTATCTAAGCCACTGGGCCAACCAGCTCAACGTTCCCGTGGTGTCCGTTGACTACATGACGGCCCCCGAGCACCCGTACCCACGTGCCGTCAACGACTGTTTCTACGCGTACGCCTGGGTGCTGAGGAACGCCACCAGCCTGGGCACCACTGCCGAGAAAGTCATCCTGGCCGGCGACTCGGCCGGAGGTAACTTTGTCTTCGGAGTGGCATTCCTCGCTGCGCAGTACCAGCTTCGGAAGCCATGTCTGGTGCTGGGCGCGTACCCTGCTCTGAAAATCTCACTGGATCTGTCACCGGCACGCTGCCTAAGCGTAATGGATCCGCTGTTACCCATTGGAACGCTGCGGGCATGTTTGAATGCGTACCGGGGGAGTGGCAGGTGAGATACCAGTTCTTCTTTTCCTTGGAAATTTCACTGTATAGTGCATTCCTGGGATTAGCAAATTAGAATTGGCAAACGTTGGCATCTTTGGATAGTGACAGCTGATAAGAGGTGCATAGACTGTCACTCCAGTAAAAATTCCTTCGGTGCAAATAGGATTGCCCATTTCACAATAATATATACCCTTACCTTGTAATGTGAACAGTCGGCGTGGAGACAGTAACTTTTAAAATTATAGCTAACGTGGTTGCGATATTGGTGTGTGACAAGCAAGGTGGCATGAAATAAAAGTTAAACTTCAACATTAAATACCCAGGGTCTAACACCCTTTTCTCCTTTCATCGGGTGTGGAGTGCTGTTTCGACGACCCTGCGTATCCTTTCCCAGACCTCAGGTGTGAAGTACCTCACCTGTGAATCACTGAGGTGGATGTCCCCTACAACATAGAGGTACGCTCAGGGAGTACGTAAATACCAGTGTTTTACTACTCCCTCAAACGTTCTACTGAAGTTTGACTGTATGCGACGTAGTGACAATGATAGGCGTTACATTACTTTGTCCACGCCAACGTAGGCACCTTCTCTGGGAGGTTGCTCAGTGCACCCAATGTGAGAGCTGTTCGCACAATATGGGACGGAATTGGCTGTAGGCTGCAGTCTCCCTCTGCGTGCGTGTGTGTGTGTGTCCACGTGTACTACGGTGAAACTACACCAAGTCACGTTCTTAGCACATCGACAATCAACTTTCACACTTCATGGCTTGTGCTTATGCAATGTGAAAGAACCTACAGTGCTGCTCAATGAAATCCAGTCGAGTCACTCACGTACGTGCTGGGCGTTGCCCTAGACCTGCGAACATTGGGCTGCGAAATGGTGCAAGGCGCAAACTTGACTCACGCGACCGGATTTCATTGAGCAGCACTGTACTTTAAAGTGCTTTGCTGTGACTTTGTCACTTTCTGGTTAGCTGTGATTTTGTCACTTTCTGGGTAGCTGTGTATGCTGTGCACAACCGGATTTCATTGAGCAGCATTGTATGGTTTTGTCACTTTCTGGGTAGCTGTGTGCACATCACCTCAAGCTTTGATTTTCATCACCTCGAGCTTTGATTTTCATCACCTGGAATTGAAACAAAACTGCGTCGCTTCCTTTGTCCTGCTTTCTTTATCTGATGCAACGTTGGTGATGGATGAGGACAGAGAGCTCTGTGACTAGAGGCAGGTGTTTGGTGGACGTGGACCGTGTGACTTGCCTTTGCCCTTGCTATAGTCTCCTTAAAGTCATCGGAATCCACTCTCTCAGTCTCTCTGTGCTCGCACTGCTAGGCTATGCTGTGGATGTACTCCGCAATGCTGATTGCTCTGTGAGTACCAGTTCATGGTGTTCTTCTCTTGTCCTGTCCAGCACGCCAGAGTATCACCCGAACACCGGTCACCTGTCACAGCTGCAGTCGGGCATCCACCAACGTCATGCCACCATCCTGAATGCTTCGCCGGCCTACCTCTCTCCACTGCTGGCCAGTGATGAGATGCTGCACAGCTTACCATTGGTTGCATTGCTGGTAAGCCACTATAGCACACATGGCAGTACGGTATGAGCTATGCATTCACATACCAGTAGCTGAGGAGTGCTAATTCCGTACTTATCGTATTGACAAACTGGCCTATTGATCAGGAACTGTCCGCAAATACACCCCTGTCCAAAACTCTTTCGAGAAGGAACCTTTCCGATGCCCCGGAAAACCCAAGCACTGCTATACCACACGTAGGTGTGTGAATTGTGACTAGATGCAATAGTCATGTACATGTAACTAAGTTAGGCAACCTTACAACATGTGCAATGTTGGAAGTGTGTTTCACCAAAAAGGAGACCTAGAGTAGAGAGTCTTCTGTGTAGTCTCTACATGTGACATGATGAGCATGTAAACAACCTGATTCTGAAGTACAGTCATGCACATGTACGTACTTCACAGGATCTGCTGGAGCCACAGAGTCAGAGGTCAGCAATGTTGTGACAGGCCCTGGCCTGTAGCTCGGTGTGATGTACAGTCAGATCTCGCTTATCCGGTTCCCTCGCGACCCGGAAGAAAATAGCTGGCTACAGATTTACAGCATACGTGATGCATCCAATGTAACCGGTGTTCGGTTATCCAGTTCCCTCGCCTATCCGGATATTTTTGTGGAAAACGGATGTGTGCGGTTAAGCGAGGTCTGACTGTACTGTTAGCATTTTGAAGCCTTACTGATCAATGCAAGGAGCAGTCTGTGTGTAATGAGTAGCTATGTCTGGAGCAGCTAGTCTGTGTGTAATGAGTAGCTGGCCATGTGAGTTCCATAGAAAATCGATTGTGCCTGAGACATATTGCGTGTCTGGGAAGGGGTGTTAATAGAGAGGTTAAGCTTTACGTGACACAAAAGTTCAGCTCGCGCGTTGGAAAACAACGCAAGTGACCTGCAGCTCACGTCGAAATTTGGAGGTTTACGCCTAATTTGACGTGATATTGCGCATCACGTCAGAAATAACGTGCAGCTTAACCTCTCTCTAATAGTCAGTCATGTGAAGTGTGCACAGAGCACCTTGGTAAGCACATAATTATAGATCATCTACATGTATGTGCTGGACCCTGCTAGGAATGGGAAGGTGGGTTACTAGCACCCCTTCCACAGAGAGTAGGGTGCAGTATGAGCTGATAGAACTTCCATGACAGCGACCTCCATTGGAGAAGGACCCCTGCTGTCCAGTGGAAGAGTTGCCTGAGGCTCAGCCGTACTTCTTATCGGTATCTTTGAGTACAAGAACATTTCAAAATGCTACATTATTGTGCTCCTTTGTGGGTGTTCAAGTAAGAAAGCTATGTTTCTTTGCCGATAGATTTCTTCGTGCTATGGGTCATCTCTTACTCTGTGTGTGTGTGTGCCAGCTAGTTCAGTTGGTGGGTACACTTATGCCTGATTGTGTTGGGTATGTTGCCAACGGGCTCGGCTGCTTGAAGGTGTAATGTTGTACTTGCCACCTTTGTTGGTTCCAGGGTTCATATACTTTCTATTTGAAGTATACATACCTGTTAACCATGGACTGCTTCTGGCTAGATTAACTCTTGTGTAATCGATGGTGCTAGTGATGTCTAAATCAGATCCAGCCTGATTTAGCCACCCGCACTAGTAGCAAGTATTACCTCCACTGGGGGCAGGGGTAACTGCAGTTGGATCCCAGGACGGATACCCTGATGCCGTCAATCCTTTTTCTGCACCTTGTCCACACCCACTTACTGAGGTGTGGTGAGCCCATAAGTGGGATCGTTTTCAAGTCCACCCAGAGTTTTGGGGATTTCAGGGGGTGTCGGCCGTTGGGCGGTTCAATAACCAATTGAGTCATCTTTCCAAGATTCCTTTAGAGTCTCTCTCCCCTCTCCCGGGGAGACCCACGTGACCAGTTTTGGCAGTGAGCAACAAGTACAAGTACAGGTGTGTGTGTGTGCGTGTGTGTGCATGTCTCTCTCTCTCTCTCTCTGTCTCTCTCTCTCTGTCTCTCTCCCTCTCTCTCTCTCTCTCTCACACACACACACACACACACTCTCTCTCTCTCACACACACTCTCTCTCCATCCGTTCTGTTGTACCTTTCAGCCAAGTTCATTTGACCCACTCTTGGATGATTCCATCGTCATGGCGCGTCGTCTGCACGCACTCGGCAAGGATGTGACACTACGCCCATTCGACGGAATATCCCATGGCTTCCTCAACTTCCACGCAGTCAGCCGCTTGGCGCAGCAAGCCACCGACGTGTGCATTGAGTTGATGGACGCAGCAATCAAGCAACACGACCAAGATGTTTAGTCGTGATACAAGTAGTCCCTATTGCAGTACGAGATGTCACCACTCATGCGTTCTCAGTGCAGCACCGGACATTTGCCCATTGGCACTCATTTTACGAGTATTGAACTATTTAAAAAAAATACTTAAGTAAGGTCCATAATTAGTTTTATTCCCGTAGCTATGCAGAAGACGTTACTTCAGTAACGTCTGGCGCTAGCCAGGGTCCACACAGCTTTAATTTGGTGTTTGTGTGTTTGTGTCACGCCTGGCACTATCCCGTATCTGTCCCGTACCGTACCATAAAACACAGCTGGCCGCAATATTCAAATAGGGCTTTCAACCGCAAGATCATAACGTGAAGCAACTTGGAAGAATGAGTATGAATGCGAAGTGTATGGGGGAATGCATGTAGGGCGATAGTGCGGGTTTGAATCCCAGGTAATGCCCGAAAAAAATAGGAGAATTTAAAAATTTATAACATCCCTTTTCTTTTTTTGCCGTCATCAAGGCGGTAGACGGTGTCGTATTACCCTCGACCGTACCTATCCCGACCGTACCGTACAATCAAAAACGGCTGGCCACAATGCATATTCCAATAGGGCTTTCAAATACAAGATCATAACGTGAAGCAACTTGGAAGAATTAGTATGTATGCGAAGTGTACCGGGGGATGCATGCAGGGCGATAGTGCGGGTTCGAATCCCAGGTTTAATATGTCTAAAAACAAAAAGAAACTTATAAGAATTTATAACATCCCTATGCTTTTTTTTGTCTCGGTCATCAAGGCAAAAAAGCATAGCGTAGGGCCCTGAGCTTCCAAGCTCTCTCGTTACCAAGCATCAAGTTGAAGTGGTTTGGACATGTTGCAAGGCATCAGGATAGCTACTCCCACTATTTCTTGGATGGAATATTGCCTGGTTCTTGGCTGCATGTAGTCTAGCCTATTTTGCACTAGCGTGACCCATGCTACCGGCATACCGACAGCTCCTAAACAAAAAATAATGCGGTGCCCACGTTATTGTTGATATAATATGACTGTGGCTAGTAGGGTAGTGAGTCAACACAGTAAAGAAATATACACCAGTTCTATGTGCGATAGTGCAGATCTGATACTTGCTGGATATAACATTGGAGGTTAGCGTCAATATGCACTTGGAACACTAGGGACAGTCCAGCCGTCCTAGATGACTACATTATCATACTCCCATCAGAGGGTGTACATGATTTAAACATACACACATAAAACGAGGCACTCAACTGTGAATGTACAAAGAGCCATGCGAACACGTAGTCTATGTCTTTTTCTTAGCCTTGGCGCGGGGCACCTTCGTGTGCGCGGATGCCCATGCCTTGAGGGCAAACAGCTTCTTGCCCAGGTCAGTCAAGTCGACACCAGCTAGTTCAACCTACAAGTACACCGTGTAAACACAGAGATAACACTGTGTTACATGTGTGTATCAAGACTCGCTGACTGAAGACTCACGAATCATGCATGCTCATATCACACGTGCGCATGCGAGACAGGAGACAGTTTGGGGAATGTCATCACACAGGAAAACAATACTAGCACATCGTTACACCACTGGCACTATGATAGGCATGTGACGTCACCCGGATGATGTGGATACATGAATACTCATATACGTAGCAGTGTTCTGACGTACCTTGCTCGCGTGCTGTTGTTGGGCCGACTGCCGTGCGCCACACGCTGGTCCCAGATGAGTAAGCTGCCAGCACGCATGGGTACTCTCTGGGGCTGTTTGTACATGGGATCATGGCCATGCACAGGTATAAAGTTCTACAAAGAGAACACAGAGATCACAGGTAACAACCAACCATTTGAATGGTAAAGTAGTCGTTGTTGATGAAATCCAGCCAAATAAAACATCAGTACCCCGCAGCAGTACACAGACAACTGTCCCTGTGGGCAACAACTGTATGGTCCTGACCCTAGTTGAGCATGATAAGGCTGGATTTTGCTGGACATGACAGTAGTTTTAAAAAGCAGCACAGTCCCGGAGAAGGTTGCAGGAGAAAACAAGTAGCTGTAGAGAGAGTTTGTTTTTTGCAGATTTAGATTTATATTGCTCCAGGAATGGTCAAGGGTGAACAAGGGTCTTGTCAACTGCACAAAGGTGTTGTTTGTTGCTCGGACCGCGGTCACGTTCTCAGTACTGAATATCACACCAGCCTTGCCGCGCTATACATTGTGCCGTGGTGGTCACAGGTGAACGCGTTGGAGTGTCGCTTCTCAACAGAGCCTACAAAACAAAGTCATGGCGCGTGTGCCGTTATCACCGTTTGCATGAAGCCTCAGATGTCGCGGAGTGATTCTTAGTTTCTTACCTTGCCTTTCGCTCAGCTCCCCGGCAAGTTTTCCTGTTTCTGTAGTTACGTCATGACCAGTATGGCACTCAGCTGTGGGGTAGCTAACGATGAACCTAGTAGGGTGCAGAAAAAAAAACACATATACATCATACATTAAAAATCCGGTTTGCATCAGCTGTGGATTTTTCAACTCCCATCCTCCCAGTCCCTGCAGAGAAACTTTGGTATAATTAGTCTGATGTGATATTGAGTCGCGTGATATTGCAAGATAACACACAAAATGTCACACATTGAGTGCCAGATTAGATAACATTCATATCACTTATGTAACATGGGCAAATGTGGGCACAAGTTATGCGATTGAGTCTACCAACTAAGCCAGATTTTGAAGAGTCAGACGTGCACAATCCAGCACAAAACTGACAAGGAGCACGGAGACATTCCACGGCATGAAAGTGCCTTGTGCCCACATTTTTCCATGTTACAATTTTTTCTTGGCTCACCATCTGAGTTCCAATCTCTTATGTGTTGAGTTATAGTATTCTTGAATTGTGTTCAGTTTATCATCATTATAATAAGGTCGAGCATTGAAACGATTGTTTTCAGAATCAGAATATTCTTTGAAATGCTGATAAGTAGTTGATACGTGTGGATAACACAAGTGGTTATTTGTAGAGGTTATTCTTCTGGCAACTTTTTATTTCGCCATTTGTTTGGATAATGAACCTACCGCTCGCACAGACTGAGCTCACACAACTTCTCAGCTTCAAGGGCAGTCGTAACTGACTTCTTTAGTTTCTCCAGCTGGGTGTTGTGTCCTCCACCTTGTTTCATGCTGTCAAACTAACAACATGTGTGAACTATAACAAGGTTTATCTAATACTAGTATTGTACTAGTATTGGGTTTGTACAGTCTATATCCAGCCCACTGATAATGGTGCAGAGCCACTCCGTTTTATGTGTCTATCAGCACTGCTTGTTGTACTGTTGTGCATTATCATACTACTACGCATTCGTTCCTCATGTTGTATTCACGTCTGATGCGCGTAGTCGCGTACACTGCTTTCATTCCTCATGTTGTATTCAAGTCTGGATGCGCGTAGTCGCGTACACTGCTTTCACTTCTCATGTTGTATTCACGTCTGATGCGCGTAGTCGCGTACACTGCTTTCGCGCAATCTTTTGATTTGAATGTTTTTTGAATCTCCGCTTCTGCTTCTCTCTGAACTTTCCTTTGTACTGCAAGATGATTTCGATCAGAGTCAGAGTAAAACATTATAATACAGTCTTCTAAAACAACGAGTCGTGTGCTATCCGGAGGCATGTTCGAGTAAGAACAGGGTTATATAATAGTACTTGTCTGTATCAGAGGGTCCCGGGCATCATACAGGCGTAGGAATAGGGCCTTTGTAAATAGCTGCCGTTCTTTGCCAGTACGGTAATGTTTCTGTGGGCTCTTTTACCTAGGGTTTTTGTCTCTTTTTTGTGTTCCAATTGATTTTTACTTTTTATTTTTGTGTTTAATACTAACATCCATGCATTTTTATGACTTGGGGCTGCACGCGTGCTAGAGTGTACGTGAAGTGTGTGGGTACAGTGAGGGCTGCGTCCCACCCGCCTGTGTGGATTCACAGGAAGTGTGAGTTACGAAGTCTGAAGAAAATGTTGAACGGTCTCTGCTGGGATGACGACTACACCATAGCTCAGTGGTTAGAGCATCGCTAGCTACAAGCGAGGGTCCCTGGTTCGAGTCCTGGTGGTGACAGTCAATTTTTTGTTCAGACTTTTCCCGTTTGTCTCTTTCCCTCAAACTAGTGAAGATTCATGCATTTAAATTGATTTTTGTACTTCAAAGTAGTTTACTGAATTTGAATTTGTTTGATGATATGTGCAATTAATTATTTATTTTTCCCGCACAAGAGGCTTTACTAGTACTTACCTGCGGAGGCATTGGTTGTGAGAGTTACCACCTCACCCTCGCAGTTTGGCGCTGCATCCCCTCTGAGATGAACGGCTGCTGAAAATGTTATTGCGTCTGCGTTGTTGTGACTGCTTTTGCTACGCTGCCTGCTCTTCTTGGCATTGCTGCTGCTACGAGTACGAGTTCGTACTGCAGTCTTCTGTCTTGGCAATTACTGCACTAATAAATAATATTGAAGTAATAATATTCACTGGTACGGTACAGTGGTAGAATTATTAGAAGTTGAAAAAGACATCATGATATTGATAATAATCATCGAAAAGTGAACATGAACCGCTTCGAACACATGTTCGGCAAATATTTTTCCCTTGGCCGCGGGCCTAGCCTAGGCTGTAGCTGTAGCTCAAGACTGCACTCGTACTGGGTCACGGCGAAGTGTCTCACTCGCTCTACCGCCGCAAGTCTGGAGCGCTTTGCGCTGGTGGGTCTCGCGATCGCGTGCGCGCACTTCTGGTTGCCGTGGTGCGAGAAATCCGGCCCTCCTAGACGCGCCTAGACCAGCGTCCCTTTACTTGGCTTTAGTCCTTCGCTTCAACAACACTAGAAGACGTTTACAACAAATGAGAAAGGGAGGGAGACGAAAACGGACAACTGGACTGTGTCGTGAGAAATGGAAGACTGAGCTGTGCCGACCGAATAGCGATGTGATCTAATGTTTGAACGAATCGTGCTTTACATGCATGATGTGGTAAATGGCAAGAGATGCTCACCGTCTGCCAGACCACGGACGGCCATCTACTCATACATTACTCATTTAGAAAAGCGATCCTGTCAGCTTTTCTATTATTGTGTTCACATGGCGCTACCTAACGACACCGCTATTCAGACACGTTGTCTACGTAGCTACGTAAGTTTCTACGTAAGATGCTCGGTACCGGTCCTGGACCAGGGAGCTACTCCACACGCGCGGCCGGCTGGCCGCATGCGTGTGCATTGCAGACTTTTTGTTGTTGCCTTTTCGGATGTGCATGCACGAGGAACTTCCTTCTTTGGAACTGCTTCTTGCATGAGCTGTTTCGGATATTTCGTCTCCTGGCCTGGCTTATTTCGTTTCGGCGCTGCTGAGACCTCCTTTCGCGGAGTATTACTCAATGACAGGTGAGTTGACCAGTTCCCTTTGATTCATTTACTTGTGTTGACTCTTTCATTTACGAAAAGTGTGCTGATTTTGGGCGGAATGCAATAAATAATGGAAAAGCTGACAGGATCTCCTTTCTAAATTTAGCTTTTCCGCTGCCGAGGCCTCCTTTTACGGAATATTCAATGACAGGTGATCAATGAGTGGACCAGTTTCCTTCGATTCATTTGCTTATGCTCACCCTTTCATTTACGGAAACGTGTGCTGATTTTATTCGGATTTAGATCCATTTTTATCTCTTTGCCCTTGCCTACAGTGTGCGAAGAACGCGAGTTCACCTTCTTGACGGTAAGTCTTATGTTAGATGTGTTGTCGAAATACTCATATTCATTGCACATTAGTACGTTACAAGTAAGGCACTGGTCAGTGGCATACTATCGTTGGCAGTTCCCAATCTGGAGGGAAAGGTTCAAGGACTCATTGACCGAGTTTGCCAAATAAATTCGCATATCAGGGAAAATCTCCATTGTGGAGAGGTTCAGTAACTTGTTTGCTTAATACGAAACAAGCCAATTGGTGCAGTCTCGTCTCGTGAAAATCTCGTACTTGTATGATTGGATTTATTTACTCGAGTCTGGGCTGTTTGATTTGTGAGTACCGCCGAGATTGCACTGCCCCAAGTAAAATTTCGTGCCGCCAAAGCAAGAATTTCGATCTGCAATCTGTTTGTAGTACCTGTAGTACCTGCAAGAATGTGCAGTACATGTATCATACTTTCTCTGTTCCTGTTTCAGTTGCCGTCATGTTGCTAAAGAAAGGTTCAGTAGAGAGGTTCTGCAAAACGAAAATTCGAACGTAGTTTCGCGACAGTCCTTGCGAAAGTGTGTACGAATTTTTGCACGAACTTTGCGTTCTGCACATTTTCGTAGTTTGCGCGGGCCAAGTGCACGTACGCCATGACCCGATCTCACGAAATTTCCTACGACAGTTCATTTCGCGTTCCCTGCAAGTTTCGCGTCCAAAGTTGCGGAAGTTCGTGCGTAGTTTCGCACTTCATGATGTAGAGCGAAAGTTTGTACGCATTTTCGTTTTGCAGAACCTCTCTAGTGACTCTTTTGTTTCATACGAGACGAGTCAATGAGTCGGTGTGGCTTAGAATCTTTCGCTGTAGAAGAAATCTATTCGTATGTCTATTGGAGAAGTAATTGTATTCACTGGTTATAAAATAGGTTAAGACAAACTCACAGAATAAATACCATCGGTCCCTTGGTGTTCGTCCTAAAGAGGTTCGACTGGATATCATTCATACTCACCAAAAGATGTGTAAGATTTTATTATCATGGAGTGCCTTGTTTATCTCTCAGTATCAGTACCTCCAACCATAGCCTTGGCCCTTTTATCCTCAGGATCAGTGTAGTTGTTGGAACGAGGCATCGGACTCAGCAATGTATTTGTTTACATTTTAATACATGTTTATTGTTCCTCCTTTGCTGTGTTGTCGTAGAAAATCGTGGACTAACAGTTTGAAGTCATTGAACTACTTCCAAAAGTTGTATCAACATCAACAGGATTACGATTTCAGTGCAATATGATGCTGGATGACCTTATCACGATAACCCATGATTATAAACCATTATAAACACAGAATCAACAAAAACATCTGCGTCACGCACCTGGCGCATGGCTACATTTCTCAAATAAATCTGATCGAGGCGAGGGTGGGGAAATCTGAAATATCTGAAAGGCAAGACAAATTTATGACAGTCATGAAATTCTGCAACAGCAACATGCACAGAATGACCTCCGTATAAAAAAAAGTATCACCACCACTACCCACATGTTTCCCCGCAGAAGAACATGCATTATGCTAGTGCCATTTTCTGCAAGAAAAGGCTTGGACATCAATGCGTATAATACGGTATTGATATGATCAAGAGTACATAAACCTCTTGATATGATCAAGAGTACATAACCCTCTTGATATGATGTGAAGGCCATCATTTACTGATATAGGGCATTCCATTGATTGGTGATAGAAAAAACAAAAGAAATTATAGCAATAAAAACTGCTTTATGGCAGTTTTCTAAAAAAAAGTTATTGTGTTCTAGTCCATGGACCCCGTCTAAAAAGTAAGAAATTAACGAAATGTGATAGCTGAAAATTAAAATTTCACACAAAACTTCACAATAATCACACACAGAATTAAAAGCTACATGTAGAAGACCTTTTCCCCTCGTGATCCTCTTTCCTATGCATGCATGTTGCCAATTGTTGGTGTAGTACAAGTTAGTTAAAGTTGAAAGCAGCATTTTAAGTGTTGTGATTATTGTGAGGTTTTGTGTGAAATTTTAATTTTCAGCTATCACATTTCGTTAATTTCTTACTTTTTAGACGGGGTCCATGGACTAGAACACAATAACTTTTTTTAGAAAACTGCCATAAAGCAGTTTTTATTGCTATAATACTATACTGGTTTAGCTTTGTGGCTGTGTGCCGTAGCTAAGCGAGAACTCAGGCATCTCGTGTCCGCAGGACCGCGTGTGCGCGTGTGTCGTGGTTTGTCACGTGATATGCTGCACGTGCTAGGCGCTAGGCCCAGACAGATTCTGCTCCGCTCGCTAGGCCTAGACCAAATTTGCTCGGGGCGCTTCGATATTTTGCCGGCAAATTTTGCCCAAGCACTTTCCATATTATAGCAATAAAAACTGCTTTATGGCAGTTTTCTAAAAAAGGTTATTGTGTTCTAGTCCATGGACCCCGTCTAAAAAGTAAGAAATTAACGAAATGTGATAGCTGAAAATTAAAATTTCACCCAAAACCTCACAATAATCACAACACTTGAAATGCTGCTTTCAACTTTAACTTGTACTGCACCAACAATTGGCAACATGCATGCATAGGAAAGAGGATCACGAGGGGAAAAGGTCTTCTACATGTAGCTTTTCATTCTGTGTGTGATTATTGTGAGGTTTTGTGTGAAATTTTAATTTTCAGCTATCACATTTCGTTAATTTCTTACTTTTTAGACGGGGTCCATGGACTAGAACACAATAACCTTTTTTAGAAAACTGCCATAAAGCAGTTTTTATTGCTATAATTTCTTTTGTTTTTTTCTGTCACCAATCAATGGAATGCCCTATACCAAAATGTTAATGATGGCCTTCACATCATATCAAGAGGTTCAAACAAACAAGACCGGTCCAGGAAGCTCCAAGTAGAGTGCTCAATGTACGAATGTGCAGAGCAGTATACACACACAACAGAGGTGAATGCTGCTGTCTGATGATCGCTCCGATGCGTGAAACTTAAAGCTACAGCTAACACAGCCTTTCGCCTCTGTTGTGTGTGTATCAAGAGGTTTATGTACTCTTGATCATATCACTACCGTATTATACGCATTGATGTGCAAGCCTTTTCTTGCAGAAAATGGCACTAGCATAATGCATGTTCTTCTGCGGGGAAACATGTGAGTAGTACTATAGTGGTGGTGATATTTTTTTATACGGAGGTCATTCTGTGCATGTTGTTGTTGCAGAATTTCATGACTCGATCAGATTTATTTGAGAAATGTAGCCATGCGCCAGGTGCGTGTCGCAGATGTTTTTGTTGATTCTGTGTTTATACTAGTTTATAATCATGGGTTATCGTGATAAGGTCATCCAGCATCATATTGCACTGAAATCGTAATCCTGTTGATGTCGATACAACTTTTGGAAGTAGTTCAATGACTTCAAACTGTTAGTCCACGATTTTCTAAAACAACACAGCAAAGGAGGATCAATAAACATGTATTAAAATGTAAACAAATACATTGCTGAGTCCGACACCTCGTTCCAACAATTACACTGATCCTGAGGATAAAAGGGTCAAGGCTATAGTTGGAGGTACTGATACTGAGAGATAAACAAGGCATTCCATGATAATAAAATCTTACACATCTTTTGGTGAGTATGAATGATATCCGGTCGAACCTCTTTAGGAAGAACACCAAGGGACCGGTGGTATTTATTCTGTGAGTTTAACCTATTTTATAACCAGTGAATACAATTATTTCTCCAATAGAAATACGAATAGATTTCTTCCACAGCGAAAGATTCTAAGCCACACCGACTCATTGACTCGTCTCGT